TAGAATATTTCAATTTTTAACCTTACAACTTTGGGTCATGTTAAAGTAACATTTGGAAAAAATTAGATCAGTGCTCACTGCAGTGAGTGACAGAGAGCGCATTTTCTCGTCCGTCCGCGAAGTTCCTGACAGACCGACGAACATGAGCACAACAGCGCCTTTTTTTCCATAAATGAGAAAATGCGCTAAAAAACAAATTTGCAAGAAATTGCACTGAGCAGCTCCCGTTGGAACGCGCGCAAAAGTGACGGACAAGTCGATAAGGGGAATACACCAGTAAATCTGGATTCATTTTATGAACTAACATGTCTTTCACAGACGGGGCCTATAAATAGTTCCAGAAAAATTGGCTATGGTATCGATGCTTCTCGCCTGTCGTCTCTGACCAAACGCGCTGGTGAAATTAGCACTGCTCTTGGTTCGTGACCTTTTTCTCTCTTAATACGTTGGATCTCATTATATTCTCCAGTCACTTATGTCGTTATTTATCCTGACGTTCTCATGACACGTTAACTTGTTTTCTCTTAAACTGTCGCGGCGAGGCGGAGGGGTGCAGACAATTATTGGGTCACGTCGCCAAGAATTAAAGTTTAATTAGAGTTAACCCTATGTATGTATTGATGTGCGGTCGTCTCCTTGATACAACCTACGCTCTCTTCTGCACTCAAAGTCCAGCGCGATTAGTGATTAAACACTTCGAAGACTTCAGAAAAATTTCTCATTCAATTTCAAGTTAAAGCTACCAGCAGTTGGGTTGCGAATGCAAAAATATCTCCCGCAGCAGCGTGGATCAAACAGTTGAGAAAGAAAAATCATTGTGAGATAAATTGAAATAACTACATCAATCAGGTAAAAAGTGGTCGAAAATACGCTAGGCCAGAATTATTGTGCACATATATAGGTAATATATAGCTCTAACATGGTTATTCGTAGAAAAATCATATTACCTTATTAACCTCAACTCGTGTCATTATCTTTTTAAATAATGTATTTAAATACATTTATTCGTTAATTTTTACGTAAAGACAACCTGGAGCGGTACCGTCAGAACTCGCTCGTGAATATACCGGTAGCGTTCGATTTCTCATTCGTTATTAGACTAGAAGTGTCGGCACTGAAGAAATAGGCCCATGGCCTGTTGCCGATACTTGAATTTTTCGTGACTTGATTCACAAGGGATCCGGTCTTTGGAACCCGATCTTTCCATAACTGACGATTGATTGAGATAGCTGCTGGACTTATTGCCTGGTCCGTAATTTGCTAGGCATTTTAAAGACTGAACATATGCTCCTGCATAGCTTCGTCTGGACTTATTGCCTGGTCCGTAATTTGCTAGGCATTTTAAGACTGAACATATGCTCCTGCATAGCTTCGTCTAGTCTGTTCTTGAAGGCGTTCATACTCGGAGCGTGAACGATGCTATCAGGGAGGCTGTTCCATATGTCGGTGACTCGAAGCGAGAAGAAATGTTGTCGCATGGATGTGTTACAATGCAGTTTTTTTTAGTTTATAGCCGTGGCCCCTGGTGTTGATTCTTGTTTCAAATTCTAGTAATCCTTCTGGGACCTTGTATAAGCCATGAGTATGCTTCAATGAGTTCCCCACGCAGACGTCGATAACTGAGGCTTGGAGATTGGTGAGTTTAACTTAAAAAGCTGTCAATGATTGGCTGGTGGATTTACGAACTCATAGCGTTTTTAAATTACTGCCTCAAATTTTTCGCTCAAGTTCGATAGGTCTCAATCTGCGCACTTAGAACATTCCTGCCATGACAACGAATCTTCCATTTGTTCGTACAAACTAATAAGGAAGCCTGAACTTCATTTGCATTGCTCACTTGTACCCGCCACTTTCATTTACAGTTAATTATCTTTCGGATTTCATAAGCTATGTAACCAGTGCAAATGCAGATCAAATCTAAGCACTGTATTAACCTATTATTTCTATTAACCTATGTCCATTATTAACCTAACACTATTATTATATTAACCTATGTATTATAGGCCATGAGCCTATTTCTTCAGTGCCGACACTTCTATTCTAACTGACATTATTAACTGACTGGACTTCTCTCGCGACCGCAAGGCGGGCGCGCCATGAGGCGAATTTGTACCAGGAGCAGGCACGGTCGAACCTGGGAGCGGAGTTGAAAAATGCACGTTTTTAGGTTAGGTTAGGGAGGGCTTAGAAGACGACGCATTTATGTGGCTGCTTGCGGCACAATAATTATATTGTACATGGCAAAAAAAAAATTTTCCAACTCTATAAGAATTTACACCGACATTAATTTTAACTGCTATAACTCGAGTACCTATAAAAATGTAATGATTCTGTCTGTTATATCAACCGTATTTATGCATGGAAAAAAATTCCATCCACAGTTCGAAATGTTGACCCACATTAACAATAGCAGAACTTTCCTCACATTCGAAATTTTCAAACATTTTCCCATATTTACCACCATTGAACATTCTCACACAGACACAGTATACTAAGCATTCTCACACGAAAAACAGCATCTCTAGAAGTAATCAGCGCCAGATAAATGTATCCACAAGACTCCATTTACTGCATAGGTATGAATAGCTATTTATAACCATTTCAATATGGCGCGGTGTAAAAATAGATTTACGATAAATTCTAATAATTGGGGAAAATGCAATGCTAGGCAACAACCGATCAGACAATCAAGACCCGTAATTCATATTTTCTCCTGCATTAACCCCATACCATAGACTTGACTTTCCACTAATTTGCCGTTCTATGCGTCCTTATATATAGTTATAGAAATTTCCGTATAGGGAACTGTTTTGCATGAGTACGAAAATTTAGCCAGAAAGCGGTAGAAAAAACTCCAACAGACGGTAGAAAAATTCTAGACCAGGCTGCAGTAGAAGAAGTCTAACAAACTTGAAAATTCCCGCTAAAATTGGTAGCCATTCTAGCATTGTTGGCAGTGAGGCTTGGGCTCGGTGGCAATTTGATTAGTCAATACTTTGTTAGAATTGGTATTTGGTGGTTCCTGAAATAACCAAATTCATTTGATATTTTTAACTAGCTCCGTTAGGAAACCTGATGATATAACGGGATTAAGAAAAAACAACTGATAACGTGGAACTAAGTTACGAACAGAAACTGAAAACCTTGCTGTATATTCAAACATATCTTGAACTTGCTTCTGTTGCTTGTACTGGCTGACTAGCCTACCGACTCGCCGATGCAGTGCCGACTGACGATGCAAGACCTAACCACGAAATGCCAATCGATTGTTGACAATGCAAAATCTTCGGTCACAAAAATTTACAAGGCTGCCATTGTGAACTTGAAAGTAGAGCCTATCTAGAGCATTTAAGCACTATAAGCGTAAATAAAAGATCATGCAAACATACCTCAAGTGACTTCCATCACTGCTAAAATCTTGAGAAGCTCAATCACGTAGCTTTTGAATACGGGGCTCGGATGATTGAAATACTGACATTTCACTTTTAAAAGCAATCGATAGGGAAACTTAAGAAATTTGTGTAACAAAGCATGTCCAGAATTAACGGGCCTTACAAACCTTATTATTTTCAAGTCGTTTACTTTAATAAATACCATGAGATAAGAGATAACACAATTGAAATGAGAACAAAGTGTCAACCGACACAGCATACTACACCAAACGATACCCATCATCCTACTACCTATAAATTGCCCATGTCTCCACTTCTTCTCGTTTCCCGCTGCCCTTCATTGTTTAGAATTAGAGGTACCGGATGAACGAGGAACCCTATTCCACATCAATATAGGGGAATACATCAGTACAATGTGGGTTGTTTTGCTAGAAATGCCTATGAAACGTGAGTGCTGAAGCCATGGAACGTGCGTGGGTTGACGTACATGCTATAATGCTAAGCATGCATATTGGCGAATACGCAATGCACTTGTGTGTACAGTGTACTTCACAGCTCACATATCGTGTGCACGCTGCACATGACGCTATGTATCGACGTATGCTGGCGAACATGCGATGCGCGTGTGCTTTCTTAAACAAAACATGAGCGTGTTGCAAATTACGCAATAACGTACTTACGAACGCTCTATGCAAACGCATTGAGAATAACACCATGGTCTCGTGATGACGTACACTCAACACAAGCGCACTGAAGTTTACCTATTGGTCACGTATACGGTATACTCAACGCTAAAATGCTGCAGGTAATGAAATGGTAACGTGCAGACGTATATGGATGAAAGTGGTAATGAAACGCTCAGTGTTGAAGTGGATATGTAAGCACATTATCCGTTTGCATTGCTGCTGCTGGGTTTGTCACTCGTCGAGCTAAGACCTCATGCTAGAGCTGGAGCAATGTGCCTTACCAGCTGCATTTCCGGACGTCATTCAATTCTAACATTTTGAGTCAACAAACTCTCCAAAAAGGCTCATGGTTAGCGATTGAATAAAGTATTGGTAGCCATTTCGCGCCTGATTAAACCTATCAGAAAACTGTGTGAAGCCTCCTCAGTTCGTAATGGGCACCTTAATTTTTTTCACAATATTGGCTTCGGGTATGCAAGGCACTTGAAATTAAATTGGGCATGTGACTAGAGCTATACATATTTTTTTCGCCACTAACGATGCAGGTGAGGATTTGTGACTAAAATACTCCGATGTTAACGGATGTTACATTGCAACTTGCGCAGAACGCTTGGTAGTTGAAAAATTATGCTTTCTCGTACGCCCACATGGCTCAATGCACGAGGAAAAGTTTACTTTAGGTTAGTAAATACATAAGGTTAGCAAAAATCAACCGTTATTGAAATCAAACCACACGCTTAACAGCGTATTGATCTGAAACAGAGTCTAGAGTCTATCGATCTGAAAACAGAGATTTTAATAGTATTTCAACACTCAAGCTTGCTAGACTTCTCGTTAATTGTTTTTACCGAATACTTTAAAATACATCATTTTCTGCCTTCCGAAATGATTAGGGTTAATGAGTAAACGAAAGTAACTTGATTATATTTTTTGGTAGCAAGTGTGTGGTCGAAAAAAGTTAAAATAAGCAATCCGACAAACCTCAAGTAAATTGAAATACATATCAATGCACATGCATAATTGTTGCCTATGGGGCCTGAGCAGTGAGATCACACGGCTACCTCTTTCACAAACCATATTATTGCTGATTTGATCGATATATCCTGGGTTCTGTGAACTATGATCATATTCATTGTCCGGTGCTAAGAAATAACAGAAGCCAGAAATTTATCAAAGTTGAAATCAAAATCGTCGCGAAAGTTTCTGTCTTTGCGCAGATAAAGCGATTTATTTATGTGTAATGGTTCTATTGGTATGAGTTAACTCCAGCTCTGATTTTTGTTACCAGCAACGAAATGCGACTGAATCCAAGACTCAAGCAAAAATGCACTTCTATAACATAATAGAAGAATCAATGATATATTGGTTAACCATTTTAAGTGCACAAAAACATTTGAAATAAAACAAATATACTTCCTACGTCGTCAAAGCCTTCAACACAATCAAGAAAATGAGTTAGGAATTATCATAACCCACCTGAGTGAGTCAGAGGCTTGTCCAAATATTGGAGCACTTTTTCGACCCACTTCTCATATTGTGAGTCAACACGACTCGGCCGAATTCACTTTTTTACAGTTTCGCCTTGTGTGAGTCATCCATGACTGGTACAAGCGAGTCACAACTAGCACAGGTTGGCCCAAAATAGATCACGTGAGTTAAAAATTTCTTGTCCATTTCTGGACAAGCCTTTGATTTTCTCAAGTTGGTCATCACGACCCATTTTTTAGTGAGTGAGATAACCACTTTTGATAACAATGCTATCTTTCTCCTGCTGCTGAGCCATGAGCCACAGAAAATTCCTGTGAAAATGTTGGCGCCCAATTGAATTTTAGCTGACAATCATGATCCAATTAGTATTATCCAAAATGGATTAAAAAGCATTTAAATTGAAACAATTGCTTTTCAACGCAAGAAATAGCAATTAAACATTTAAGAATTCTTCTGTCATCTCACATAACATGTAATGAAAAGATTCCTGCAATCGAGCCCAGGGCCTCTACGGCGAGATTATAATTATTTGTCATTTACCAAGCCTTGATCACACGGTCACTATGTGACTGAATCATTCGCAACAAGTTAAAAGCACGGCCTATGGTGAGTATATCAATGTTATTCCTACACTCTCACTTCTCACTCATCTTAGAAATGTCGCCTGACACTGTAAGCACAACTGCACACATTTCTGAAAAACAGAACCTTTCCTTTTGCAATGAATCTCGCAATTCATTCCGTCACCATTGACTGAGTGACGAAGCATTAGAGCTGAAGTATTCGAACTGATTCTAGCTAACTTAAGGGAAGATAGCCATGTCCATATCCACATATTACCACGTAACAAATTGACAAACCGAAGTGTGACATCCAACTTATATCACGAGGAAGAAAGGCACTAGCACAATATGTTGGCGGCTAAATGGGTTGGCCGGAGAAAGCAATGGACGCTATAGGACATTATTATAACATTCGGCAATGATCTAACAAATACCAAAATTATAGCTATCCAATATTCAGTAATGGTTATTCCAATTTTCGGAAATTATTTAACTAAAATCGAGCAATGGCCAATACGAACGTCTGCAAGTTTAATGAGCACGAAAGCATACAAGGGTTTATCAGGGCAGGAACGGTTGGCGGGAACAAAGGGCCGGGAAGACTGTCGAGATGGAAACGTGACAGTGTCAGTGACAGGAGTGGCGTTGACGGGAGCGGGTAAGAACGCAGACGGGAGCGGGGACGTGAGTAGAGACGGTAGTGGGGACAAGAGCGGGGACGGGAGAAGGGACGGTGGTGAGGACAAGAGCGGGGACGGGAGCAGGGACGGTGGTGAGGACAAGAGCGGGGACGGGAGCAGGGACGGTGGTGAGGTCAAGAGCGGGGACCGGAGCAGGGACGGTGGTGAGGACAAGAGCGAGGACGGGAGCAGGAACGGAGCGAGGACAGGGGCAGGGACTGGAGCGGGGAAAGGAGCAGGGACTTGAACAGGGATGGGAGCAGAGACGGGCGCCAAGACCGAAGCAGCCAGGCGAGTTGAGTAAGAAGATAAGAAAAAAGGACTTGCAATTAAAGCGAGGTTTCGCTCCCTCGAAACACAACAAAATATTCTTGTATTATTAATTGATCTCAAGTTCGATACAGCGCAGTTTACGTCTCGGCCATAAGTGATTGAGCTAATAAGGAAAAGCGTGGCCGGAGCAAATGTTGCTGCTCGACGAAGCTCGTCTGTTGTTAATTTGCTTCCTGGGAAAACTCCTTCTATCGTTCCGGACCAAGAATCACAAAATATTTATTTTTTTTTTCACATTAATGGCATCACCATTAATGTCTAACTCAAAATTTCACCGATTATGTATTTGAAATCAAAATCATACATTTGCCTTGAACTAAAAATGTTAATATGAAATAATATCTCTACAAACTTATTTGTATCAAGAGGCCGTGTAGCGGAAGGTCTGTAGAAAAAAAAAATTAAGAGAAATGTATGCAATTTCCGGCGATTGAGCGTTGATGATTAAAATAAGTTTTCCACCATTAAGGCCTTCATTAAGATAACTCATTAACATTAATATGTTAAGATGAACGATGTAGTATAGCACATGAAAAAATTTCACAGCAAAGCAAGATTTCTAACAACGATGTATCACTAGCAGACCAATAAGTGCAACACGCCTTGAGCTATCTAACGAAGATATACATGCGAATCATCGAAGATATTTGCGTGAAATACATTATAAATAGTATTCTAGCTTACTGACACACATAACTTAAATAGCAGGCTCATACTTTCACCATTTGACTGCTACAGGCAGGAATTTATAGAGCCAAGTTTGGTCCGGAAGAATTGCAAGATTTTTACACTTTGGCACGAGACTTAAAGTAATAAGAAAACTTTGGTCCATCTTAATCTAATGACAGATATAGCATGAAATTGCAATGACATTTCACGTCTGTTCTTAGATGACTTGTTAAAATCCCAAATATTGTAATGAAGCGTAAAGCTCGTAAGGAAGACAAACAAGATTGCAGCAGCATTGTTCTTCACTTTGTTAAGTGTGCCTAAAAATTTTCCATATAGTAACAACAGATTAGTTGAAATAGGTAATGGCCCTCATAAACGGAGCCATGAGAATGATTAAAAATAAAGATAATAGCCTCCAATTGCTACAAAAGGCCAGTAACACGTCCAACGATGAATACATAATGGCACAGTGTCTAGTGTTCTCTGTTTAATTTTTAGACAGAACACATCAAGCAAACGAACATTCCTTATTTTTGTCTATTATTGATCCAATCCTATGTACACTTGTAGATCTGTATCCTTTTGGAGTCAATTTCGGGGGCAGACAGCTTTTAAGCCATATAAAGAGACAATACCATCAGTTGTAACTTGTAACCACATACGCAATCAGACAAGATGCTAACTAAATAAATCACTTATGTTAAAAAGTATAAAAAGACGGACGATAAATTCTAGCTAAAAGACGTGCTTCCAACACATATACATATCTAGACAATCACTTGACGATAGGTACAATGCTTATCGAAATTTGTCCAAAACTGAACCTTGTCTGAACTCGGTTTGATACTGTTTTGTCACCTTTTGTACGCTTATATTTCTGCAAACGATTCAATTCATTTTCAAAGAAGGTATGGAAAATTTCTGGCAAATCAGAATGAAGCTCTCCTTGCACCGTGATGGTTACGAGAGAATGACATTAAACGTTTGCATTGTTGCCAGAAGCCAGCATTTATGAAATGATTTACAGAATGTGCAACATAATGGCTATCTTTGTTATACGAGCCTTCATGATAACATTTGTGTCTTATTATATGATTATCCATAAAATGCGTGATATCTAACTCTAATGATGCTATTCAAAGCAAGGTTATTATTAGGTTAGATGTTAGAATATTTGATCCTACTAACTGAGGATAGGAATGCGCGATTCTATAAGATTTATTATTCATACATGATTAGGTTCTTCTACGAGCGCGACTAAAAAAGCAGCTCAGAACGGAAGAGTTCCCTTAGTTGATGGAATTTAAATTCATAGTGCTCGTAGCAATCGTTTAATAAGAGCACCGACAGTAATGAGTCAATAGTGAGTCTTACTAAATATCATACCATCATTATAATAAGAATATATACGTCTGAGGTAGGCGACGGACTGTTGATACGTAGGTAATTGTTTCGTTATGAAATAGAGCAAAATTCTTGAAAAACTTTTCATTCATTCTGGCGTAATATTTCACAAGCTTGGTATCATATAAATCTAAATGAAGGGTTACGTAGCAGATGAACTCAAACGAACAAAAATTTTCGAAGTGCAATTCAGAGGTAGTGTGGTTGGCCCGTATCTCCACCCGCCTCCAAACGCACCTTAGTTGAGGAGATGCATCATACCATTCGTTACCCACAACTATACTGGCGTCTCATTAATTCTTGTCAACTGGAGGCTTACCAGCAGAATTTATGAGTTTAGTCACTTCAGTCGCGGCTTGATCTTCATCATCCACATTGAGGTCTCTTGACGGCTTTAAATCATTCGTATTTTTACTACTCCGGGAGACCAAATGTTTCCTCTGTGGGCCGGGAGTGTCAGGCGTGAGCCATGACGGAGTACTTTCCTTGTCACTCATGCCCTCGGAGTCTGAAGATATACAAGCAGTTTGCTCAGTTGCTGCAGAGAAGATGGATAGGTTTGGTGATGCTGTAATGTCACAAATCAAAGATTTGTTCTCCTTTTGATTCGACTGAGCGGGAATACGTATCATGGCTGCGCCACAGATACACAGAGGTATGAGCTGAGGTGACAGTAATGGGTCTTGAATGACAGGTGCATTGTGGGCTGCGGTGTTAAGCTTGCAGTCTAACCTCGAGCAGCGAACAACAGTGTTAGCATTCTCATGATCGAGCAAAGTCCCATCAAGTATGATATTTTCTGGACTAGAAGAATATTCTTGACCTTCAAAGTCAGCAAAAAGATCTGTCAGCGGTGCACGAGGAAGGCACCTAGGAGTTACGGGAGGTAGGGGCTGTCTTCTGATGGGCATTCTCCGTTCATACTCTTCATCGTCATCACTCAAACCAACGAATTTAACAGGAGGAGTTGGTCGGTTTCTCTTCCCAGGGGAGTCTGTGCTGATTGGTGGTAGGAGTTGTTCAGTTTCTGGGTCGCGGTGTTTCAGAATGGACTTCTTGCCGCGATCGTAGAAAGAATGGGATGGCCTCAGGCCTGAAAAGTCGGCGCCTCTCACCGATGATTTGCCACTACCGCCACCTGGAGGAATTCCGGAGAGTAACATCTGGCATAGGTTACAATTGCTGACTCAGTGTTGAGCTATTATGATAAATAAAATGAATCATAAGGCTACTGTTCGAACCACAGTGAGACACGTTCTTTATTTAGTGTGAGTAATCAAATCCACACATCAATGTAAGCTAAAAATTGGATTTAAATCAATCGTTCATTGGATTTTAAAACGATTGTAGGGAACATTAGGGATCTATTCATATCGGTGAGAGAGGTAACACGTTTCCATTATCGCGTGATAACATACTATTTAGTATGTTATTTAGTAGTATTTAGTGTGTTATCACGATAACATACCTCTCAACTAAAAACTTTAAGCCTTCTTGAGATGAGTAACGAAAATAGACGAGATCAGAACAATTTTTTGTTTTGTAGAAAAATAAAGAACGTGAAATATGAAGATGAAAAGTAACGCATGTTCAACAGTCAGAAGTACTTAATAGTAGACAAATTATAAGTATTGATTTTCGCTAATTATATAAAACCGATAATGTAACTAATTAAAAGTACAATATAAGTAAAGCCAGAATTGAGAATGCGTTTAGAATGCAGATAAGCAATAAAACGATGACCATGTTAGCTTCTATCACTATAATAAAGCATGATAAGCGGAAATAGCTCACGCAAAAGAAAAAAAATTCTCCACGTCAATGAAGAAATTTTCATAGCGCAAATTAGTTCAAAGTTTGCAGCTGAACGATCCCGTCTTCAGAAACGCACCCGGCTCGTTCTTAATGATAAAAGTTTTAAGATGAAAAAGTTCGTTAATCAAAGAGTTAATTTCGAAATAACCAAACTAAGGGTTTAATTATGTTTTGAGAATTATGTTACACTGTGCCTGTGCCAAACACTGTGAATTATGTATCGCAGTGTCATTGGCAACAGGCTTCTGATAGGAATAGTAGCGTCTCAGTGAAGGGAAAACGTCAGCCCGTAGCTTACTTACAATTCTCGCGGTAAAATCTTCGCTGTGAATTGGGCGCATGCGTCTGAAAGAGGACGAAGGCAATGAGGAGTTAACTGAACTTAGAAGGTTAAGTTGCAGGTTAACTGAAAAGATTGGCTCGTAAGTCAAGTAAAAGGTTAGCCCTGGGATAAACAGCGAGGTTAACTCGAAAGCTTAGCAAAAGGATTAAGCAAAAAGGCTCTGCTCACCGGGACTAACCAAGAGTCAGTTCAACAAGCAAACTCATGAGCAACTAAAGAGGCCAACATACCTGAAGTGTCAGGCACTTGTGGATCTCCGCCTTCAGTTGAGCTTTGCTTACAGGCTGCTGAAGAGGAGAGGGAACTGCCCTCGGGCTTACTTGCTTCACCGGCGTCGAGAGGGTACGCCGAGGGACGCTGAACCACGGCCTGTGTAGATCAGTTACCGTGAGATGCCTTTTACCGTGTCTTGGTAGCTTTACCGGGCGATGGTTTTTTACCGCGTCGTGGTATCATTACCGCTACTGTGCTACTGTGATGATGACGGGATTCTGATGGTAGTATTGCCGTGAGATGTCAATTTCTAGATATGGTATCAGTCATGTAGAATATAACAGAGAGATGATTGTTTTATTTATTATCGCGTGCCTGTGATATGCTTCATACAACTGTTGAAACGATGCTTTATTTGAATTTTTTGTGAGTCTATTGGGCACTTATATAAACTGTTTTGGAGGTTTGTATTAAACTCCACTAAACCATTTCTTAAGCCTACTGTACAAATAGTTGTTTTGCATACAACCATATAGTGGATGCTTTTTTTTACTTTTTAAGTCTACCGGATTCCTGAGTTACCCGTTTTGTAACCGGATTGTATTTCTTAGCTGTTTGAACTTATGGATATTTTTATTCATTTCGTAAGTGTAATACATAGTTTACATAATGGTTCGTACGCCAATTCAATCGCATGATGTTTTTATGTCAAATAAATTGTTTACTTTTTATTTTGGAGACTTTTTGTAGGCTTTCTCCATTTTTTACATGTTTAATGAATTGTATAAAATTGTTTTACGTTTTTAGCTTATTTTTTTTCGATTTCAAAGTATTCATTTGTCACTACTAGTGCATTAAAAAATCGTTAATATTGATAGGGTAACTGGCTCGAGGCCGTCAATAATGCGTGTTTTTAAAGGCTCTTCAGGAATTGATCTCGGCAGATAAGGTATATGTGGGTCAAGATGTAACAAAATTTTTTTTTCTCCTAAAAATTTAAATCAAGTGCACCGCCTATAAGTTTGCAAATAACAGGTAAACAAATGAGACATGTAAATAAATTCATTCAGATCCTGGTATTTATTCCTATAGAAACATCACTTTGAAATTTTAATCAAAAAATGAAAGAAGACGCTACTAAAATAAATGTCTCTAATCTTTGTTTGACTTCCTATACTTAACAGGGATACGTTGGTCATAAGGGAATTGTATTTATTGTCAAAAACAATAGCAATAAACAAAACCGAAGTCATGCAGGAGGGATTACGAATATAAGCTTTTCCCTTGCTTTTAGGGACCACTCACAAGGAACCATTTTGGGACCTTTATAGAATGGGCAGGTAATACTTGATTTAATGTCCCCGTTTCACGGGTAACATTTAATATTAATTGTTATATTAGTCTTGAATATCTACTGAATACAACCTACCGAATGTTTTTTTGTATAGTAAATAGTAATGAGCGTCTGACATTTGAGTTTGAAAGCTTGTGGATGCTTAATTTTTTTCTCACGACTGAAGCTTATGCGTGTGAGGTAAATTTTTATAAATATTACCTGAACATCATGCCATTAATTTTACTCCATGCAGTTTTGAGGTTCGAATAATAAATGAATCGTTTGACAGAGTCTTACCCAAGAACTACACATGCATAAAAAAGTTTATTTTCAACAGTAGAAAATACGCGGAACAGCTGATGACAATGATTATTATATAAATATAATGAAGAATTAGGAAGCGTAAATATATATAAATACTTTTATTTTCAAGCACACGATTCATTCGAAGCGAGGTTGGCGCTGACGGATGCTGGTTTGTTAAACGTTAAACGATGCAAATAAAAAACCCGATAAATTATTTCTGTATAATATCGCAGTAGCAAAAAAAACTTCATTAGAGAACTTAGTCAAGAGAAGAGCAGCAAATAAGTCGCATGAGTTGTTGTGCATGCGTGATAAACGTTGCATGCCGCTATGAACCGTAATTACAGGTTAACGAAACAGTGTACCAAAATTATGAACTGTATATTAAGTTAAAAAATGATAATAACGCAAAATATCAACTCGAGCTGCGGAATTTGTGAGACGCAAGACTGAACGATGCCGTGAGAACGTGCTTGTTTACAGGAGGCGAAGGTGGACTCTAAATGAGGGATCACGGATGTCTAAATCGTCAAATGCTACTAATGGGATTCTGACTGATGGGTTCTTATGTAGGTTAAAAACAAAGAGGGGCAAGCTGTAGAGTCTGAAAACGCTTTGCAGTAGCGCCCATTGAAATCGGCAACAAGGGTTGTTCAGAAGCAGCTGGGCGTGAGCACAACCTTTAGCGCTGGACGCTTTCATGTCCACGACCGCAGACTTGCCGTGATAGGTAACCAGATAACCGAATATAACTCAAACCATTTATAATCAACAACATAATACTAATAAAACATTCATACAATATATTAAATACTATGTAATAAGAAGCAACTAGCGAAGAGACACTGCGATGTATCGATAAAAGTACGGCTGCAGTTATAAGAATACGAGGCTATATATACGAACAGTTTAGGCTCCGAGATATTGCCGTACGTACAGCAACCATTATCACTGCGACCATCGGCCGTGAGATATAAAGAGGAGGAGCGAGACGTGCCATGATCATGGAGTTCACAGTAATAACATTCATATGCAACTGACAGCGCATGAAATTATATACAAGAAGGTAATGCGGCCAGAGGCTGCAGCCGTGTCACGGTGACGAACAGGAATTCGATTCGTTCATGTGATCGACAAGGCTTAACAATTAACGTTGTGGAATGCGGAGACTTTGCAAGGTATAGGTATACCGAACTAACGATTGAAATTGCAAGCCTGAGTTTCCTACTCCCTCCAAAAAAATTATTTTTTTTTTCTTGCTGAAGTGCGCTATGCGAAGGAAAGCAAAATACATGGAGTGTAAATAACATACTTCATTGCAGTTCTAACACGTTCTCGATTTCTTCAATCGTTTATCAATAAGTTGAATTTTTTTGGAAAGGTATACTGGTATTTAACATTGATTGTTGTGAATTCTTCGTTTCTTAATAAGGGAGGGAGCAAAATTTCGTTAGCTTTCATTCTATAGGGGATGGTTGGGAGTGGCTTATTGTGTAATTGTCGTGGATTAATGATTGTATTTTTGCATTAGATTTGCTGTTTTCGTAGCGCCCGCTGAAAAATAGAATTACAATTTTATAAAACTTGATTCAATTTCTGACACAAGAGTAATTCTCTCTATCAGAGTGCTGACTTGATCGTGAGTAAATGACAAATAGCACTAAGCTGCGAGTACTTAACTACTTTAACCTATCAACCGTAAATTAGATTTCATTATCTTTTATCTTCATTGAATTCTACCTTCGCTCGAGAAAAATTTCTCGAAGAATAGGAATGCCTTGAACATTTGTAGCCAAGTATCTAACATTTGCGAAATGCGAAAATCCACTTTCAAGTTCAGGCGTCGAGTTCAGATGCGCAAGACTACACAAGATAACCGCTGTTCTCTCGCAGTCAAAATTTAGCTTTGAAATATTACGGTATATTGTTAGCGTAGACGTAATATTAGACCAGAGTGAAAGTTCATATGATGGGAACAAGTTCGTATTAATATAGCGGTTTCTGCGTTCATTAGACCGAAGGCCTTTCGCAGATTCTTAACATCGCAGAACAACCACAGCTTGTTGCGGGCTTGAACTTGCAACTCACTTCTTCAATTTTTGCTTTGCTTTAACCGCCCGGCCTCCTTGCCGATTCTGACCAGAAACTGGCACACCGAGCTGTGATCGAACCCGCGCCTCTCTGCTCCTGACTTGGTGCTCTGAACTTTCCCCACTGGGCCACCCTGCTTCTTCGCTCTTTGATGAAAAGCGTTATAATTCTCGGACATATTAGAGTTAGTAACGGAATCATCATGTTACTGGCCAAAATGGTAATTGGCTGTAGAATTCATGGCATCGTAACTGTTTATGATATCATTTATAAGGTGATGAAGAACTTATAACAGTAAGAGTCTTGGCGCAACATGAGCGGCGAGCCCCGTATATACATCTAGTTTTGAAAACTTGTATATTTCGTAACTGAAGGCCAATGTAATGGCAGCAGGATGGTCACGAATATGCCGTCGGTACAGAGGCGGCCAAACACGAAGCACTGGCGTCACCATAAAACGTTGCAATTGAAGTTGGAACCTGTACATGAATCTTAAATAAAGCATCCTCATATATTACCCCGACTGTTTTGTATCACGTTCACATGTAGCCTTCGACACGAGTCTATTCACAGACATTCTAAGTAAACCATCTAGGGAGCAGGGTTTTTCTTTCGGACAAGATGTATCGCGGTCAGTTGTCAATGTCGTGTGGTTAGCCGAGCCGATGTAAAGTTGAGAATAATTTATAACTTACCAGTTATTTGTTTCCACGATAGTCTTCGTTTTAAAAAGGCATACTTATTTCTCCAACATTACTGTGAGCTAGTTGCACTGCTTCTCTGCTCTTGGTCCACTTTTCTTACCTCCAGACGGTGAAAAGGCAGAGAGGAAACCTAAACTAAGAGGACTCCTTTCTTACTGCGACATGAAGCACCGCACAAGTAGAGATCACTCGTGAACAAGAGCAAGCCCATTGCAGCTAAGGCCAGTTGCATCTCACAGTTAAACAGCACATGCAAGAATGATGCAGGGAGGGACTACCCAGGTGCATTGGTCATTTGTGATAGTTTAAATAGTGGTAGCAAGTCAAGTATTAATTATGCTGACAAAGCCGTTCAAGACGTCAGGAAGAGTAATAAGTCTACTTCTGTAACTTTCAGAGGAGTCTTGAGTAATATGAGTACAACAGACAGGCAAGAGAGAAGGCACTTGACGCACAAGAAGAATGGTATCAACAAATAATTTTGTTAGACAAAACATTTCACGCTTGAAGCGCATGAGTGGATGCTGCATTCTGGTGCTTTAGTTGCGAGACAAAAGAACCTTCACGATTCTGAGTAGAGGTGTGAACGGAGCAACTTAGCCGTACCTCTTGGAATCGTGCTCGTCTATGCTTAGGTACAGGAGATTCTTGAAGAGATGTGCGACTGCTGCCGAGGAGTATTTCCGTGCTTCGAGCATCACAAAATGTATCCGTGAGAAACGACTGAGTTTTCAATGTCTTAGGTCTTGGAGAAAATTGTGGGGAATAAGATCGAGAATTTGTGGTTGTAGCAACGCTTGCGTGTCCGGCTGAGACCGTTGGAGGAAGCCGATGGTCGTCGAGCGGGTTGATGTATAGGTTGGAGTCTCTAGACGTGGAGGTGACGTTAGCGTCTTGAGCGTTGTTGGTCTCGGACGTGAGGCCGGCCTGAGAAGGGAAGATGTGAGTGATGGAGTATGAGGCAGAGACATCCGTGGAGCCCATGGAGGGAAGTTCTGTGGTTAGATTTATTCCGATACAGACATTCTCCTTTAATAATTAGAGTTGTGTGAGGGGGAGAGTGTGTTAGGTTGGATTGAGGTGAGGAAAGCCTGCTGGTGCATGAGGATCTCGGCATCGAGCAGCGCTTACTGGTGCTCAGCAAGCAATCTTGGCTTCGTCAACTCCAACTTTTAATTCTCAAAATTTAATAGAATGCTCAAAATAGTCTTAGAATCTCAAGATCGCGATTTCAAGATCACATGATGGGATATAAAGAGAACAAAATAGCCAGAAAATCCTGATCGGATTGATCATTTACACACACTCCACATGTCAACGCCACACATCTACACACTCAAACAAAAAGTGAATTTTTACAAGAAAAAGTGAATTTTTTACACCTTGTGAGGACGTATTACAGTTCACAGAGGACAGATAGTTGCGGACGAAGGAAAGAAAGGGTTGTCATTACGAAAGAAACAAATCGGTCAAAATTCTATGTTAGAATGCAATAAATTGTTTCCACTCACATATTTCAATGATGTTCATTGATTAAAATAAATGTTTGGTAAGCCTATGGAAAAAATTTGTCACCGCTGTTTAGAAATCTACAGCTAAGCAGTTCTAGCGTTTTTTTGAGAAAATAATTTCAAAAGGCATTCTGATCACAATTTTCTTGTCATCAACCGTGTTCTATTCGCAAACGATGCAAAAAAGGAATAATAAAAAATTAGCAAGAAAAGTGAAGGCTAATCTACAACACGACATTGTTTAAGATGAGAATCAGTGGCAGAGAAAAAGTGTTTTAAAAACACGCAATTTAAATTAAGTTTAAAAATTTTACAAGCAACATTCATTTGAATTCCTTGCAACACATCGATAACTTTCAAAACCAGATCAAACTAAATTAGGGCTTTGAAATATAGGTGCAATTAATAAATAAAAAAACTAAATTCTAAACGTTCAGACGGATAATTAAAACTATGTAGTATTAAAGATGAATGATGTTGAGTAGTATTCTGCAGAATAATTAAGTCACCCATTGAAAACCCACGCATGTGAGGTCAAAGTTACTCAATAGCCTCGGAGAACAGGCGGACACGTGTTACGTGTGAGTTAAGACCACGCATCCATGTTGCACACAGTATAAATAATTTTTGATGACTCACGATTATATATTGCGAATATTTAAGAAAAACGTTATGAATGGTTTTTGGAGAATTGTAGGTAGCAGGATGGATGCGATTGCTAGGTAATTGTTTTTCTCTGTTTTAAGAAAGTCCATCGTCAACGCCAGGTATCAGAGAGTCAGGACTGCTTGCAGAGATATAATAAAGCGTCAAGAGAAGAGTGCTCTAAAAGCATCGAACACGAATAACAGAAGGCGATATGATCGAGGTTTCAATAAAAATCCGATTCAGTTTTAGGGTTGAGTTAATGATGGTCTTTTAATGGCAATTCCGTATCGGGAAAATTTGAGTGATCTTAACTTATTCGCCTCGATGAGTAATTGATTTGAGTGGTGCCGGCATTGCGGCCTCAAAAGCACTTCTCAAGTTGATAACCAGAATATCCTAATGCCCCCTACATTTTAATATCAATACCAATAAACTAAAGCATCCTACATCTCACGATGTCTACCCTTAAAAACATGCGCTTCCCTTAAGCAACGTCAAAATTGACAGCGTCAAACTGCGTGTGACAGGGACATAATCTCATTTTAAATAATGCGATTGGGCAGGCAGCGGAAAAAGTTTGAACTGAATCGGAGCGGCCGTTGCCGAGTTATGATGGAAAAAGTAAAAATTTTACCTCGCTCTGGATTTTCCCGGTTAGTGAGTATAAAGTTGTTCGGATACAAGTATCAATACGCGTACTGAGAGCGCGGGGTAAAACCGGGGGGACCCCGAATTTTACTACAACAGCAATGAAGGAAGAAATTTGTCATTGGTGAAAGTGAGTTTCACTGCAGTAGTTTTGGCGCACGTCGAACGGAAGCGAAAAAAAAGGAATGAAGAACCATTAATGGGATTAGTTGGTTACGGAACTCCTACTTACCTGTGAGTGCGTTAAAGCTCGAGTTTAAGTTGCCAAAGATTTTAAAGTTTACGTCGAAGAAGGTTTGAAGCGAAGAGCTATGTCTTCACCGCCCGAGACTTCATCGCCGGCTTCCTAGGCAGGCAAAAACCAATTGGGGGAACTGACGGCAATTAATCCATGGTTGACTTTTTTAACAGATAATGGCACACTAATAATGGGTGGGTTCCCAGTTTTTTGTTTAATTTTTCCCTACACTTTACTAAGATTCATAACTTTTCCCGGTACTGAGTTCCATACGTTAGGGAACTGAAACTTCTCATGGAAATAACATAAGATCTGATGGGGCTAAACTCAAATAAATAATAGTAAAAAATAAAAACAATGTACATTATGTAAACTAAACAATTTAGTACAAATTACACAATGAGTGAAACAAGGGAAAAATAATTGGTCAGGAACGTAGCCGGGATTTAGAAATAATATACAAAATAGCGGCTAGTCCATCGGGTGCCAGCTCAGAGCAGAGCACACTTTGTGGACCAGTTCAGAGCAGAGCACACTTCGTGGACCAGTTCTGAGCAGGGCATACTTAGTGAACCCTCTCAGAGCAAAGCACACTTCGTGGAACTGCTCAGAGCAGAGCACACTTCGTGGACCAGTTCTGAGCAGGGCATACTTAGTGAACCCTCTCAGAGCAAAGCACACTTCGTGGAACTGCTCAAAGCAGAGCACACTTCGTGGACCAGCTCAGACAGAACACAGCAGGCACTATGAAATATCAACTCAAATTTCTAGATAGGAATTGTTAGTGGAGTGATATGCAAATAACATGATCCACAGTCATGAGTGGATTAACTTGTGCTGTAATGTCTTATGCTATAGGGGCCAAGCATTACGGACAAATGCGTTAGCATGTCAGTCAGGTCACATGCAGAAACATAACAAGTCGAGGAATACCATGCAGTCCTGAGCTAGTTCACATTACATGCCAGTGTATTGTGAGGAGCCGCTAACCAATTTAGGTTGCATGCCAGCGTATTACGGACAGCCCATGGGCCAATCGCGAGGTTATAGTTTGCTTTACGGATTTTTCGTTTAGCCTTTGTATACCGTGTATGGATGTAGTGACCAACGTGATAATCCGAGCATGAATTTACGTGACCGCGTCATTTTTACCATCCACGGGTGGAGTGTTGTGGATGGATTTTGCATATTTTAATGAATTTAACGCATCATGCATGTGACGTTTATTTGCGAAATGGCTTTTTTACTCACTCTAATTAAAGGTCCTGTAAATAACATGTTCATGCTGTAACAATTTTTATTACATTAAAATATTTTTGAGCCTTATCGTCGGAAAGTCCTCATCGTACCCTTCCACTACAGCGAGATTACATAGTAGCAAGAACTAAGAACTTCTGGGATTCCTTGAGTTATAGTTTAAATTATTTTGTTTGCTCCTCCTGTTGCACACACCAGGAGGGTAAAAGAAAAATAATCCTGGTGCTCCCAAATCTCATTTGCACTACAGATCATGCAGTTAAATGGACAGTTGATTCATATAAATATTAAGATCTATTCAAGATTCGAACTTGGGTTCTATTAACATGCCTTAAATCCTATATCGTACCTTGTTCAGCAAACGGGGAGTTAAAGGGTAAGACGCAGCGTCTTTACTGAAGTCCGAGCCATTGATGAGTTTTACCGCCAAAGGAGAGGAAGTAGCTGACATCTCCTACACAAATGAGAACAGTGGCTGTCAGTTACGGAAGTGAATAGCACATTTTTGAGTGTAGAAACTGTTCGCCGGGCTTCAGCTAGAAGTTGATATCTGGTTAATTGTTATGATGATTTTTTGAAAATATTTAGTTAAACATACAGTATGTATGGTTGAATTCGACCTCCGTATTACTTAATTAATTCAAAGCCAAAAGCTGGAAAATTTAGTAAAGCCAATGACCATTTTTTGTCACTTGAAAATACTTGTTTTACAGCACTACCAGAAGCTACTAATCAAAATACATAATTGGGACGTATTTTATAAAATGTATCCATCGATATGATACAAATTTAGTGAAATCTTGTCAACCAACTGAGATAGTTTTGGATTCACTTCAATAATACTGAAGGATAACTTTTTTTGACAATTTGGGTTTAAGCTTCGTTGTAAAATGAATGGGAGTAGTTAAAGCATTTAAATCCACTTGATCAACGAGTCATACTAAGTTGTTTACAGAGACAGACACGGAGGTGCGGGTAGAGTTTATTTTCCAACATGCGTAAACAATAAAAATATTTATAAGAACGGTTAAATTACACCAACGTAAACTAATTAATAAACAACAAAGCTCTGAAGCAATTAGCTTCCGAAAACCTAGTTAGTTCTTGGTGAATTAATATTCAAATGATCGGCATATTGGAGGCTGCGATACTGGTCACTCGCTGAGGTTAAGAGTCTTCATATGTTCAGGTACATGACAATGATTTCCGTCGAAAACAGATAATGTTTTGTAAGATGGCCGATCCGTCATGCAGATGTTCAGGAAAAATTAAAATTACGGATTATTTTGTTGTGGTTATCCTGCCAGTTCTTCACTTCTCAAAATTGTTCACAGATTTTACTAGCAACGAAAGGTTTTTTTGAATGAACCTCATGTGCTCAATGCCAACGGTCCGCAGGGCTCAGTGAATCTGGTCTCAAGTTCTTCATAAAGAGTAACTCTGATAATAAAAGGTATAGAGTGGAGTGATTGGTTTTCAGGAGCCTAACATTACGAAGAAATATACGAATGTCTCACGCAATTAACTTATCATAATGGATTAATATACAATAGGAATCATACACGAAATCGGTTATGCATTTACGAACTCTAATACACATCTTCAAAATATAATAGATATAACAATTGACGGTTTAGTTCTAATTAGGGTATGGGGGGGGGCGGAAATTGTTTTGAAGACAAGATGGGGCTGTTAATTCAATCACACATAATACAGTACAGCGGGTATTTTTTAAGAACAGGGAACGTCAAAACAACAATCACGTGTACCTTAGAACAGTGGCAACATTTGTAAACTGTGCTAGTATCTGCCAGCAGAGCTACCTTCACGTGGCGCCGCACACTTTCCTGAACCAGCGAGGAGGTAGAACAATTTAGGTGCTTGCTAAATGATGAACATCACAAAGTTTCTTCTCATAACTCAATTCCATTTTATCAGTAGAATGTGGGATGTAACGTTACTGTTTGATTACTATATCGTCTTTAGAAAAAGGCTGAAGAGGTAAATTTAAATCGGCAGCGGGCGATAATATCAATTTTAATATTCTGAGTTGCGAGAATATGTAAGCATTGGCTGGAAAGGTAATTTGGTCAACATTTATTTGAGATAGGAATACGTTATAATCAGCTTGTACTTACACACGCATGTTTTTACTGTCATACATTAGGCAGTGAAGCCAGTATTCATTTCTAACTTTTGTGTCCTCGTAACCCAAGAGAAAATTGATCATTACGAATGTGTGGTTTGATGTGCCATTTACCACCATACGTGTCATAAGAAATGAAGCAAACGAAAGAACTTGAGTAAATACGGAAGTATGTCTATGGTTGAGGTCAAATGGCTGCTTGATGACAAAGATGCGAATAGTTTCGTAGTAACACAAATGAAGTAGGATCATTCACGAGAATAACACAGATTTATTATTGGATAGCTAGCAAACGTAATTATAATATAAATCAACGAACTAAATATGAATTTCCACTCAAGAACTGTTTATATTTGCTTTTTGGAATTTATTACAATAAGAGTTGCCCCCGTTCGAATATTTATTAGAAATTTTTTAGTGCCTATTAGTAAACCACATTCACTTTGCTGCAAAAATTTGAACTGACCGGCGTCTGGAAGTTAGGCGTGTCGGCGCCTGACTTGTCTTCAATGCCCGACGCTATGAACGGCGCCGGCAACTTGTTGTTCGGCTGATTGTCCAGCCTGGTAGCGCTTGAGTCCATCACTCCAGTAGAATGGTCGTCAGACGATGGTCCTTTTCGACCCTGGTGATGCTCATGGTTCTTATAGCAGCCGGTACCAGTGTGACCTGCGCGGATGGATTCTTCTCCCGCCAAAGAGTTGGCGTCAGCTTGAGACATGTTGTGGCCTTCGAGTGTTGCGAAGAGAGCAGTTATAATAGTTAGTGATTGGTGAAGGGGGAATTTGATCGGTTGGTACAAATAGGTTGAAATTAATAGTGAAGAGTAGGCATCCGACTTGTATTGTTAAGTGTGTGTTGAGCTTAGAGCTCATACTTCTCATGTTCACTGATAATTACAGTGAAATGCATTGCTCCAAGATGAGTGCTAACTGATTAGATGAGCAAGTTCTTCCAACTAGTGGCTAAATGTTTGAGAATGGGAATATATCCTACCATAAATGGCGTAAACTTGCAATTCGGGACACACACGTGTATGAAAGTAGGGATTCTCATGCTCAGATGCAAGTCGAGGGGAAACAATCAAGTGTACATTGTAGAGAAGTTGCTGGATTGACAAGAAAAAAAAGCACACATGAGTAATTAAGAGAGAAACGTATTAGGCGTGTTTTCATTTTAAGACAATGTGTAAGTTCTTGAAGCAAGCGTAACCTGTGATTTCTTGTTCACATTTTTTATATACGAAGGTCATGCACATGCTCATGATGGCATAATCATTTAGTAGTTTACGAAAAACTATCTAAAGTAAATAAAAAGGTTTGTCTAGCTATGAATACTGTTCCGACGCTCCTAATATCATACTGCGTTGAAATATCTATTTGGTCAGTTATATATTGAGTTACGATCAAGCACCACTATAGGTTGGTTAATATTTTCTATTATAGAATTTACTCATCGCTAATTATGCTGTAGCCTTACCTCATCAACACAAATAACTGAACTGTGAAAATGTGTTATTCAAATTATGAGTAATAATAAAAAAGAGGACTACGCTATTTGAAAGCAATTGCTCAACTCGTAGTAAATAATAAGAACGAAACCTCGCACCTCTCTGCAAGAAACGGCCGTCTTCCAGTTGACCGCTTTTAGGGCGAATATACAACGTTTAATTGCCGAGATAACAGAATAAATAGTAGTGAAAATATTGGGCTTAGCTACTAAATAGAGTACTCTAAAAATATTACAGTAGTTAGTTAAAGCTCCTCATTGATTGGGAAATTGTTAGAGAGCTTTTTCATCAAGCAAGATTTTCAGAATTACTCGTCGTGAAATGAAATTAAAACGTATTCAGTCGCGTATTATATATCAGTGACTTTCAGATCAAGGCTAGGCATAAAAAGATGATGCACAAACAAAACATTTTAATAATTCGTTTCAATTCCGTGTGCAAATGAAGATCATGAACAGAACAGCAGTGCTAGAATGCCATACAGTCCTATGATTGATTCCGATGAGTTTCAAACTTTAAACACGAGGAGGTGCTGAATTGTAAATTCTCATTTTAAGAAATCTTCATTAAGCAGGATGTTACGCAAGAGTTTCCTAAAAAGATACCAAAATTGCGACTATCGTGCACTGCACCTGTGTCAACAATGACGTCGATGAGGTCCATGGACTTTGCGAAGGCGTCTCGGAGATTTACGTGGTGGAAGGACACTATGCTGCCTTCCCTCTTCGCTCGCTCGAGAGCCTCGCGCCTCTTGAGCGCTTTGTCTCGACGCATTTGGTTCTTGTAGAACTCGGCGAAGTTGTTGACGATGATAGGAATAGGCAGCGCAATGACCAGCACACCACAAATACAGCACACTGAACCTATCACTTTGCCTAGCGGTGTCACTGGATAAATATCGCCGTACCCAACGGTGGTCATTGTAATGCCAGCCCACCAGAAAGCTTCTGGTATGCTGCCATATAAGGGATTAGCTTCTTTCTCCGCGAAGTAGCACAAACTTGAAAACACTAGAACACCCATTGCCAAAAACAACATGAGGAGACCCAGCTCTTTGTAGGAGTTCTTCAACGTGAAACCTAAACTCTGAAGGCCAGTCGAATGTCTGGCAAGTTTTAAAATTCTCAGAATTCTCATTATTCTGAAAATTTGTACGATTCTTCTAACGTCTTGAAATTGGTCAGAATGCTTATTTGATTCTATGAGAAAAAGTGACACGAAATACGGTAAAATAGCCAACAAATCTATAACATTCATAGCTCCTTTGAAAAATTTCCACTTGTTCGGACTCGCGGCAAATCTAAGTACGTATTCAAGCGTGAACCATGTGATACAGACAGCTTCAACCATTGCCAAAGTTTCGTTATCTGTTTGATCTTCGCCTTGGAAAGTTGGCACTGTGTTTAGGACGAGAGCTACAGTAGACACCACGATGAAGACCACGGAGATCACTGCCAGAACCTGCAGGTGATGAGATCAACCAAAGACACCACTCAGTCAGTTTAAGTAAAGTAACTCAGTCAACAAAAAGTTGCAATAATTTATATCAATAATAGAGAACACGAATCCATCAAACATAATAGAACAAAAATTAATTTATGATTCTGGATATCTGTCCCCAGCAGCTGATTAACTTTCTGAAACGTTTTAAAACCAAATTTGGCGGGAAACAGTCGTGAAGAAATGAGCAGCGTAAAGTAGATGATCGTAAAAAGAGTTATTGGAACAATCTATTTTATTAGAAACCATATTAATTACATAATTCAGAACAGAAGTAGATAATGAAAGGCTCTGATTAAGAATAAGGTAATAAATGTCCAGTTGAAATGAGAAGTGAAAAATTAGGAGCGTAAGCAGAACGAGCGACAGATGTTGACAAGTGAGCCCCTTTTGGTTTCAATTAATATGCGATTTACAGGGAAGAAGCACAACTTATTTTACCGTTAACAAGGGAAATTCACATCAGGGTAACCTAACGTTTACAACAATCATAAAAACATAAAATAAGAGTAAACGAAGCGAGCACAGTCACGAGTCTGGTGTTCAACACAGAAATGGAGCGTGTTGTGTGTCATGGAATTGTGGGCTCGGGAACACAAATGTTCTTGGTTAACTCGTCACTACTCGAGAAGATTAAGTGCTTGATGCATATTGGTCCTCCGACGATTTCGTGGAGATTAATCGTAAAATGAATGAGAGCTTAATTTGAGGCTGGCCCTGTGCCATGCGTAACAGCGAGAAGTTCATGTTTGAGTAAATAATTAAATATTTCCACATTAGTGTTCCCAGCCTCGTGTCTATGGGAGCAACAAGTACACATAGCAAGCGACACCTATTTAGCAAGCAACAGTCAGCACGGAGAAAAGAAGGATACATTTGCCTATATTTGCTAATAATACCGTTGACTCTAATTTAACCTACTAATTTTCGTGCCTGTCACTCATGAGAGTTTGTCAAATAACAGCCTATGACATACGACAACGTTGTGTCTAACCTGAGTTTAGTAACAAAATTAAAACTATTCATTCATTTATTAATGAATACATCTAATTTATTATTCTATTTTCACGAATATGTCTTTATTAATGTAGATATTTGTGAATCAACGCAAAAATGCAGTCGAAAAAACGTATTTCTTCTTGTTGCAAGTAGTTTCCTTCATTTCAAATTCCTATTCTTACGCTTGCCTGCAAAGATGGGCAAGATTACGATTTTCGGCTTAAAATCGTGAGGTTGTCCATCTTTACTGACTTCGGTTCAGATACAAGCAATCTACGGTAATTAGATTTATGAATAGCGGCGAGGTTCAATTATGGTTAAGTTAGGAGAAAAAATGCTGTCTTGTGGTGCCAGGTCATTGCGCTTGTCATTCCTTTGGCTCAGTTGAGGTGCCATGTCTTCACCTGTCAGTCTCTTTCCAAAAAGCAGTGGTGCCAAATCTTCTTTCGATGATTACAAGTTTCGCTTTCTCGCCATATATCACCAGATTAAAGGAGAAGAAGATGAAGGGTTACATATATGCGATCTTGCAAGTATTTATAAGATTTTTTTGCGTAGTAAAAACATTTGCTCGGTGGGTGCAGCGTCGTAGCCGTAAAACTCCGTAACGCGTGTCAGTAGACATCGAAAGCTGATCATGAAGCACAAGAATGTGAAATTCAAGCACAATTTTGCTTATGACTGAAAAATCAGCAAAAATATAAAACTAGTCAACTTCAATTATAGAGACTTTTCTGGACTTGGATTTTTGGCCTTAGAATTGATCGTTTGGTGTATTGAAATGACTCTTTCAAATGGTTGACGAAAATGAAAAGAGTTTTCCAATAACAAATTCATCAGAAATTCATAAGTTTAATGCAGTGGGATGAACATGTCATAATTTATCTATTCATGTTTTTGTATTTTTTATGACCACACCTCAAAAATAATTACTACAATTAATTATTGCGATTCATTCAAAATTACAATGAGACTATTCTGAAAGAAATGAAGTAGATAATTTATTTTTGAAGAATGCAATTTTCAATCCAATTTCCTACGCTGCGGAATAGGACTACTTTCTGATAATGATTCTTTCGTGAAAAACGTCGCGTCAAAGCCTCGAAATTAAAGCAGCTAGAGGTGCTTATATCAGTTATATGTTTGATGGAGTAACCTATCAGTTGATGCTACAGAAATGAAGCCTTAAACATAATATTAATTTTATCCATCCAAATGCTTTCATAGAAAACTTTTGAACAAAGAAATTTTTTAATGGGCTACATTTATATGTAGCCTTCATGTGTTTGTAAAAAGATATGTGTACAACTTTGGCTTCTACTACGACAACAAGCGAGTTTGATGAAGGAGGAAATGTTCTACGAGGCATTTTAAACGAATTCTGGTTCCAGATCACTGGAAACCTGCAAAGCGCTTTTAAAAAAAATTCATTTGGGACAAGTTCTATTTGATGTTACAAGCGGAAATTCCTCATGCAGAGTAACTGATAAGCGTAGTCGACTGTACCTTTCTCATTTGATAAAAACGTCGAGCATAAAAAAACTCAATTTCATTGCCAACTGATTATGCAGGACTAATACTGGAGGGACTAATACGCAAGTTTTCTAAAAAAAACATCAGTCTTTGGGAATAGATATATCAAGACATTGATAAAAGCTAGTCAATATGATCATGATATGAAATGGAAAATAACATGAATGACACGAGTTATTCGGGAACTTAATTTTACCTTGCGTGCGGAAAATGTTATTAATTTTTCAATAATTGATTGAATTGAGGGATGTTTACTGACATAAATCCTACACTAATTGCAAACAGAAAATTTTGAATTCAGGGAAATATTTTCATTATCTCGAGCATTCGCCTGCCAGGGTATTCAATTAACTCAGTATAAACGATGTGACCGAAATGTGGAATTAGCTGGCGTCACGTGAGATTAAAAAGATGACGAAAGATTGCCAAGAATTACAAGGTATTACGACAGGAAAAAGAAGGAACTACCACAAAAATGTAAACTTAGTATGGCCCAATGCATTGAAATACAGCAATGTTCGAGGTTACATCAAGGCGATTAGTTTGAAGTGAAGAAAGCAGAAGAAAGTCTTGGAAGAGATATCCCGGAAGGAAATAACGATGGTCAGAAGCGGATAATCAATGCAGTAATCATAATCCTTTGCGTTGCAAATACTGCCACTGGCAGTCACTTAAAGACACGGGAAACCCACAATAAAATTACCACTTCTGAGTTAGAGAATTCATTGAAGAACTTCGAGTTACTCTAGGGCTGTTGTCGACACCAGTAGAAAATCAGACGCTAATGAAGTAAAATTTTTTGCTGATGATAAATCCACAAAGTACGTAGTTACCCAATATGATTTATGATTGCACATGCAGACAGTAGGTTGAGAAACTTTAACTGCCAAGGGAGTTATCATGTACCTTATTGGTAAATAAATGACATCTAATAGCATACGCAATTTTGTGTATGAATAATACAGCTCTGAAATAAATAAGTAAGGATTTCAAATGACATATACTATTGGTTTTCAAGGTCTTTTTCTGAGATCGAAAGAGACGTTTTGGTTCATTTTGACTAAAATCTTGACTGTCATAAAACATCGAAGGACGTAGCTATGAACTCACCTGACCGTGAAGAACTAAATTAGCCAAGAATCATTCACTCCGGAGAAGTGCTCATGTTGGGAGCAAAACTTTTCTCCTGGTTGAAGACAATGCACATTTGCAACGAAGGGTCAACTAAAGGGAAAGACACTCGAAGTAGAAATCTCACCCTGGAAGCGAACGAAGTCTGTGGTTTCTCCATGAGGTCCCACAAGAACTTCTGGTATGGCGCACAAGCGCCGTCGCCAAAGTCCTCATCTTCTCTTTGCTTGAGGGACTCTGCCTCCTTTCTCATCTCTTCGTGCACGTGCTCCTTTCTTTGGTGGTACTTGTGCTGGCAGCACGACTCGAGGTACAGCTCATCGATACCCCAGTATTCCAGGTCATCGCTGAACGCCAACACACACATCTCTTCCACCAGGTGTAATTTACCAGTGCGGTAAAAATTTAAGATGGAGGAGAACGACCGAGGATGTCTGTCAAAGAAATACTCATTTTCTATGAGGGAATAATCATCACAAAGTTCCATGATGGATTCATGCGTGTTGCATTCTCTTAGTCTGCCGAGTCTTGTATGAGGAAGTCGCTCCAGCGTCCGCCACAGCACCTCGTGTCGCACTCCCCCGACGTTCAGCTGCACGCGTCTGTTCAGCGCCTAGGAACATGGAAACGTTAATCAACAACAACATCCCCATCAAAATTTTGAGTTGGTGGCAACCCTGAATTGGGAACCGTCTAGGACTCGGACCGCACGTAAATCAGCTTCTATATGTCCACTTCGGCTCAGAGTTTGAAGGGCAGCCTCTGGGCAGTTGCTTAGCTCGGTATGACTCGGCTCGGCCTACTCTTCTCACACTCTGAGGTGACTATAAAGTCGGAAAGGAGATTCTGACCAGAAACTGATTACGATCGGATGGCCAAGCAGACCCAGAATGACTCTGCGCCGAGTGTAACAACTATTCGGCCGAACCCTAAGCGGTCCTAGAATTTTGTTAGGGACGTTAATCTCCCTACAGACCATTTGTTGTGTGCGAAACGGTTCTTAATTATGGAAATATCGCCCTTTATTTGCCGAAAGGTTTCCCAGTAATAGGTTTTAAATAGGTTCATTATATTCCATAAAAAATTACTGTCTGCAGGGAACTGAAGCGCTTGCGGCAGTTTACGATTTGACAGAGGCTAAGCGTGTGAATCTTGCTCGCTACCCATGAGTCTATTCTTTTCGTTTGCCAGTTCAAAAAACATCAGCTTAAAAATAGTGATCGTTGTTCAAAAAATTCTGCGACAGTTGTATTTTTGGATATCGCTGTGCTTCCGCGAATAAATGAATCATACTGAAATGCATGCACGGAAAGTATGAACGCACCATTGAAGGCATGATCATGAGGTATGACCTACCTTTGAACGCATGATCATGAGGTATGACCCACCTTTGAACGCATGATCATGAAGGGCTCCGGTGGCAGGGAGACGATGGATCTGCTCTGCAGCCTGGACATCGAGAAGCGCACCTGCCCTTCCCTGTCTTCTTTGTCTTCTCCATCCTCTTCTTCCTGCAGGAGTCGCTCGTCCACACCTCCTTCGTCACCCCACCTCACCCCCGTCGCTCCTGGAACGTCTCCCACCATTTGGCTGTGCTTCACCTCCAGCCTGGCAAGAGATCTTCAGCCTGCGACCCGCCAGCCTGCACAAGTAACCTCGTGTCAGCCACAAACTACTTTTGATAGCTTTAGATTAGTCACACGCAGCCGTTAATCAGCCACACGAGGCTATCAATCAGTCGACCGCACCTTCTTTGATAGACATGACCTTATATCAGCCATGCATGGCTTACAACAGCCCTTTAAATCTTTTTCGTCAGCCACGCACAGCTATATATCTTCCAATAGAATCATATTATAGACAAGAAAATATTATTTACCAAAACGATACACGGAAAACAATGACAAGAATTTTTGCAGGCTTAAATTTCACAAATCCAAATTTGTTTATAGTGGCTCCACCTTTCTTTTCACAATAAAACGGGATTTTTTTCAATAAAAGGAGCTAGAACAATTATAAAAATAAGAATGGTCTTCAGGCTGGCGCACCAATCTTGCAATGGAGAGAGGGAATATGCATGCAAGTGAACGTTTAGTAATTTGCATTCGAAAAGAATTGCTACTGAAATCACCAAATGATTTACATATGGCCGCATGAATGACAATGAATTTGCTTCTAATTCGGTGTTGAGTGGATGACGCATGCTAATTCTTCGTATGTGAAGAATAAATGATAGAATCGCGTGGGCGACACGCATCTGGTTGACGCATCAGACACAGACACTGCGACGTCTTCCATGTATAATCTTTAGATGAACGTTTAACAAATATTGTTCACATCTATGGCATCGAATGCAGTCCTTAAGAATGTGGCACCTATGCTTATTGATCACACTATAAAGTCACAACATGAAAATCTTAATTAGCTTAACAAACTTGCATTCTACCTTAACTTTAGGATTACACCTGTAACCGAATAATTATATGCTAACCTAATATGGATGTGGATTATAAGTGACTCTCAGTATTAACCTACTAATCACACTAATTAATGAAACCTCTTTTTAGGTAAGTCGTGAACAATTGAAAAACGCACTTTTCTCGTCCCAGCTATTGTTTTGAAGAGAAGTCAAAGAATACATTTATTCCGCTTATGTGGCTAGGCTGGAATTTCTGACATCAATAGCGGCGAAGACAGGCTTGCGTGTCAGTCTTAGATGCAGATATTGAGCTGCTGGTCTGTCCGTGATTGTTGGCAATATCCTTAACACACAGTCAGCTAAAACGCTAGTATTAACGACTGGCAATACTCGCGCCAATGGATGAGCTGGAACGCTAGCACCACTAGCGCCCTGACAATGCTCGCGCCAATGGATGAGGTGGAACTCTAGCACCACTAGCGCTACTGACAATACTCGCGCCAATGAATGAGCCGGAACGCTAGCACCACTAGCGCCCTGACAATACTCGCGCCAATGGATGAGCTGGAACGCTAGCACCACTAGCGCCCTGACAATACTCGCGCCAATGAATGAGCTGGAACGCTAGCACCACTAGCGCCCTGACAGTACTAGCGCCAATGGATGAGCTGGAACGCTAGCACCACTAGCGCCCTGACAGTACTTGCGCCAATGGATGAGGTGGAACTCTAGCACCACTAGCGCCCTGACAATACTCGCACCAATGGATGAGCTGGAACTCTAGCATCACTAGCGCCCTGACAATACTCGCGCCAATGGATGAGGTGGAACTCTAGCATCACTAGCGCCCTGACAATACTTGCGTCACTAGAGGGACTGACATTATTGGAACAACAGGTTGTGTCACTGGGTTCAGTGGAAGACATTGATTCTTTTGGCAATTAAATTTCTAATTCGAAGTTAACAAATTTCTTCTCTGAATTCTAATTATATACAAATTTTTTTTCGCAATTTCTTTTAACCTGAATATTGTTCCATTGCTCAGAACCGTGAAAAGACTTCAAGCGGCAAATGATTCATAGAATCTCCGGCAAGAATTAGGTTTTTCAACTAACAAAAACAGACTGCGCAACACATTTCGCTTATAAAGAGTTTCAAGTACCTGCCACGGCCAGTTGATTAGACCAAAATGAACTGTCCACATATGACCACGAATGAAATACATTTAGCCCACAAGAAACAGCTAAATATACACAGTCAGCCAGCCGCTAGAACAGTGTATTCAACCAACAAAACTGTTCATACAGTCAACGAGTACATTTTACCATCAGGAAATGGTTCCCCCACAGCCGCTTCTAAACTCATCTTTTTCTTATGAGTTCTTGATTAAAGTTTACTAATGCAGTCGAGTAGCTCACTTCGACCACTTGATCAGTGCCTCGAGTTCACCGCCGTAAGAAAATGCGTGCGAACTCAAATGAACATCAAATGAACATCAAATGAACATCAAGTGAACATCAAGTGAACATCAAGTGAACCTCAAGTGAACATCAAGTGAACATCAAATGAACATCAAGTGAACATCAAATGAACATCAAATGAACATCAAATGAACATCAATCGAACATCAAATGAACATCAAATGAACATAAAGTGAACATCAAGCGAACATCAAGTGAACATCAAGTTAACATCAAATGAACATCAAGTGAACATCAAATGAACATCGATAACTATCGCGTCAACGATGACCGTGCCGCTAATGGCTTGCCATGCTCGATGCCATTAGAAGTCGCTGCCTGAAAAAAATCGACTGAAATTGACAAGGCTGACTTGAATCCACAATATTTAACCCGTGTTCCTATTACATTTAATACAGTTTAGTTTAAATAAATTAAAAAATTTGTTATATTGAATATTTAAGTGGATTATAACAATAAAAATGTTTCCGAATTGCCGCTGACTTCACAGCAGCGCGCCCACCTGCTCAATGAAGAAGTCGTTCACCTCAACCAACGCAATCAATGGCAAGTGGGGTGCCTAAAACTTCGCTGCCGCATTGCCGTTACATTTTCTTGACGCTGTAATGAGTGTCTATGCGGTTAATAGGTTCGCTTTTGTCTTCATTATATAAAAAGTGTAGAATTTTGGGAATATTAAATAGGCAAATATGTGTATGCCATATTCTCTTATGCAAGTTTTATTGAAGACCAGAGCATATTTCTTATTAATGATTTTCTTATTACTTTTCTCGATGCTGCGAATCAGGCTTCTTGCGAGATATTCTCTGTGCACATATTTCCATATATTCTAATATGTGATATGAAAAAATTATCTTGACAGTTGAATTGCATATTGATCAAAAAACATCTTTGATAGAAGCTCACGCCAGTCTGGAAAATGGAGCAATTCATGTCAATAGTAAATAAATAGTAAGTTTTAACAATAAAAATTCCTGACAAATTAATGTGTATTGTAGACATTATTTCCTGTAGCGCGGCGTTAAACTGTTGATAAAGAAAGAGGGCTGGACAAAAATCTAAAAATGTACTATATTTCTAACCAGTATTAAAATGATTGACTTTACCGAACCACAAAAAAACTATGGTAATTGCAACAAACATTCAAATACCCTCCATGGTCCTAAATCCTGATATTGGGCTCCTCATAAACTCTACGGAAATCGTACCTAACATTCAAGTATCTCCTTACAGGATTTTTAACAGAAGAACTCTATACATTACCCGCTAACAGCATAAAAGTATTTCTCCACCAGAAAACAGAGAATATCAAAGACTAAACCATTATAGTATTTCATAATGAATAGCTTAATTAGGATATTGTCCACTATCATTTTATCCTTTAAAATTTGAGCACATTTTAACATTAAATATTTTGCTGAAATATCTATGAGCTTTGAAAAAGGCTGACAAATTAAATGTTAATTAGAATTAGAACAAAATATGCTTATTTTATGTATTTATTACTGAAGTTGCGAGAATATTCCCTTTAATTGGTTTGAAACACTGACCGTATTTTAGGTAGCCCTACATAAATCGACGATTGGCCGTTGATAATGCAGCAGAGATTTTGAGGCTTGCTACCTAGCGCTATCAGACATGACTTAGCAGGCCTCATAGCTGCTCTAAGCTCTTATCAAAGCCCTTACAGCCTGGGCATCACAGAAAAACATGATAAATAAATACAAAATCTTGCATTTTTAGAGACGTAACGAACGGGTATACACTGCCAATGATAACCAGTCGCAGTTTCACTGTATTTTCCCCATAAGCCATGCGACAGCTCGTTGGCTACGCAATAAAATAAAATTTGCGAGCAACTAAGGCCATCAGCCATCAAATGGACATGAGAAGAATGCAACCGCGGCTTTGTTCAGTTTTGAAAATTCTCTTTCTCTTATATATTGCCCATGTGGAGCGGACATATTGTTCAGCACAGCGCAACACAGAGAAGCAATACGAACCACAACAGAGAACAACAGCACTAAACATAATAGATCACAGCAGCAGCACAAAAAATGGCAGATAAAAGTAGCGCAATACACCACGACAGCACAGCAGGTGAACAAAATAGCACAACAGTAGCACAAAACTCCACACCCGAGCACGAATAACAACAATACGAGCTGAAAAAAATAGACCGAAAAACACAAAAAATATAACTCAGTACCCACTGCAGTGAGTGACAGAGAGCGAGCGCATTTTCTCGTTGACGAAAACGGGAAGTCACGTACAGACGGACGGACAGACAGACAGACGGACATGACGAGCACAATAGCGCTTTTTCCATAAATGAGAAAATGAGCTAAAAACACAACAAATCAAATTAACAGGGAAGATCGCACGAAAATTCACTGACAGGAGATGATTTGCTCAGATTTATGCACATCAGCAGCACTGCAGCTGTTTAGAGCAACACAGTACAACAGTAGCTTGACGGCTGTTCAGTGTGGACGTACTACAGTCGCGACATGACTGTTTGCAGCGCAATTGTTGTCGCGGTGCAACAGCGTAACCAAGCACAGCTGCAGTTACAAGAGACGGTAAAAAGTTCAATACAACAGAACTGTTTTGTAGCAGCAGACAATCACTCAGTGCAATAGACCATCAGCAGTCGAGCTCAGCACGACAGCTACACAGTTAAACGTAATCAAGAACAACCAAACTCAGCACAAAATATTACACAATGGTCCTGCTTAGTAC